TAGGGCTTTGTAAGACCAGGCTTCTGCTCTGGGTGCTGCTCACTCCAGCCCATCTCTGGGAGGTGGGGAAGCCTTCTGGTGCTTGGGCTGATACTGCTGCTTTCAGTAGCTGCTCTGCTGTGCAGCCTTGTTAGTAGGTGGCGCTTTGGTGTCCTTGATTGTTTTAAAGACTGGGGAATTCTGCTTGTCTTTTTTTTTTCTTTTTTTTTTTCCCTTTTACTGTGTTTTTTTGTTTTTTGTTTTTTGTTTTTTTTTTTCAGAATATGATGTCCCAGGAACTCACATTAAACTTTTCTGGAGTAGATTTGTCTATTCTCTATCAGGAGATTGATTTGCATGCCATGTTAGTGGTGCTGTTCTCCCTGCCACACATTTAATGTATCAGGAGATGACAGTGTGCTCTCCTTTTACCCTGGGAGAGCCAGGTGCTTGGACACCCTTGCTGCTGTGGTAGTTGGTAGCTGAGACCTTTTCCCAGAGCTTGGGCTGGAGAACAAGCTGGTTTGAAGCCTCTTAGGAAGGTGCCAGAATGGTGCATTTTCATTACAGCGTGAGCTGCATCTGTAGCTTGGGAAAGGTTTGCACTCTCAAATGGTAGCAGTGGGCTTCTGCTGCAGGACAGGCAGCCCGACCTTATGGAGTGATCAGAGCAATCCTGCAGTCCTCACTTTAGTGACAGTTTGGGAATGAGTGGCATTGCTGAATTCTGATCTTGGGCATGAGCTGAGGTAATATTGTATTGGCTATCATACTGTTTTTCTGGTGTCAGCACAAGAGGGAGAAGCTTTGTGTACCTCACAAAGCTCGTAGTGTCCAATCCAAAGCACATATTTTAAGATGAGTTGATTGGACCAGACTTCACAAATAATCCTAGCTTCTAGTAAATAACCTTTGGGCTCTCTGGGTGCTGTTGCTGTCAGAGCCTTGATATTTGGAAATGTCTTTAAAACCAAATGTATCTTTATCCCTTCTGCATTGAGGGATAATAAAACAGTGATCTGAGGTGATCTCAAAAGGGGAATGTGTTAGGACACAGCTAAGCTGTCAGTGAGCTGGGAAGCTCACAGGTTTATGGAAGGTTTCAGATTCACTGAGATTTTTTCCAATTTGCTAGACCAGGATGGATGTGGGAAGGGACCCCAAGGAACTGGAAGGAGAAGAGAGGTGCTGAGTGTGAACAGGTTTTGTTGCTGATTGCTCCTGGAAGGCTGGTCAGGGATGGATCAGGAGGGTGCCCTCAGACCCTACACTGATGCCCTGTGCTCGCTGCAGGACTTGGGGGCTCAGCCAGGCGCTCCCCACTTCTCTACCAGTCAGCAGCCCCTTCTTCAGGTCCCTGGCACCCTAAGCCTTTTGGGAGAAGGGCAAATATTTTGTATAGTAACAATGGAATTGCACTGATGACATAATTATGGATGTGATGAAACAGACATTATTCAAATTCACCACCAGGAATGTAATAAACTACAATTTAAACTAGCTAGAAACTGGCACGTTTCTGGTTAGGGTTTGGAAAATGTTCTCCTCATGCTGTTACCTTTAGTATCTGCAAAGACCTTAGTGTGAGCTGAGGAAGTGCTTTTCTCTGAGCTCCAAAACTACAGGCCATTTTTGTTTTAGAGGCTGGTCAGGGAAAGAAATAGCTCATGGCAAGTGCCAGAGCCAGATCTGCCTTCCTCCTTCTGAACTAGACTGGGTTTGCATTTCAGACCAATGTTTCAAGTATAGGAGAAGCAGAAAGTCTAATAGCAACTGTCTTAATCAGCTGGGATTTGTGCTCTGGAGGGCTGAGCATCTGGAGGAGATAACGACGTTCAGGGTGGTGCTGCCACCTTCCCCTCTCTGGCCTTTAAGACAGACTGCCATTTACCTGCTGGGTTTCTGTGTAAAAAAACTTAGCACATTTCCACAAGAAACCTGAGCTGTGAAATGACACTTTTGCTCTTCAGCTCAGTAGTCTGCAGGGCAGACTGTAGGCACAGGACAGCTGCTTAACAGCTCTGTAACTCTCAGCCAAATAATGAAAACCTGTGAGGCTCAAGAATGTGCAGAGTAGCCTGCTGTTAGCAGTGTTAGCACTGGCAGTAAGGAGAAACAAAGAGCAAGGTTTCTCTGGAGTCTGTCAGTAGGGTCTGCAGCATGCACAGATTTCATCTTGTTCATCTTCAGTCTCTATAGCCACTTTTCAGTAGTGATTAGACAACAGGCATTTTAAATGTAAATAAGAAAATTTTACTGTAAGAATATAGCTGTAGCACCACTTACAACATACCATATTAGAAAGCTTCTAATGAATTTAAAGAAAATATAGTCTTGACTAGAAGTAAAAGTTTAAGGAAACAATTAGAAATGATCAGCCATTAGAGGTGAGCACAGTGTTGTACTTGGTTCTTGATGGGGTTTAAGAGAGATGCTGAAAGATTTGTATAGAATAAGAAACTCCTTTTTGTAGCTAAAAATTAAATAAGGCCTAGTTCTTAAATATAACAGGCTCTAGCAAAAATATGACTGTATTATTTTGAAATACTAGGATAATAAGTTAGTTATTTTAGCAGTTAATTCCACAGAAGGGACAGAATGAGAAAAATAATCTCCAAAAGCAGGAAGGTACAACAGGATCCACTCTCCCATGTGATTCTGCAAATCTTTCATGGCTAAACCTCAGACTTCCTCTCAGCTGAGCCAAAGGCAAAACGGCTGCTCTCTCCTGATCTCCCAGCATAAGGCTGTTACTCATTCAGTGAGAGTGTCAAGGGTTAGGAGAGTGTACTTACTATTTGTTGCTTTTCCCTTCTCTTTCTCTCTCAAAGGTGTTCGGAGTTTAACAACAGAAAGATACCTCTTAACTAGCTGTAGCCTGCAAGATGCAGCTGGCAGGGAAGCATAATCCCCCCTCAGTTATTCGTACTTCGCAGTCTCACAACAATTGTTTAAGCAGAATTCATTTAAAGGAAAAAAAAAAAAGTAGCAACTAAGTAAATGCACAGAAGGGACTAATTTAAGTAACCCTCTGGATAAAAGCAGGGTAGGGCAAGACGTGTCATTGTTTTAATCTGTCAGAAATGTGATGATTAAATGAGCAATTTACTGCTCTGAATATGTACCAGCACTGGGCCCCTCCTGCACTCACATAGGAGTATTTCTGCATTTCTTATGCAGCCTGCCTGGGTGACAGATCTGCACACACACTGTTCCCAATTAGTGTCAAGCAAAGAGCTGCTCTCGTATCTCTAAATCTTTCCTGAAAGTGATTTTTTCCTGCATACGTTCACCATTTCACCATTAACCTAACTCTCTCAGAGGACATTTCCCAACAAAGGGCAAAGTAAACACATGTAATACATGATAAAGCAATTAATTATTTAGATAATATTCTCCCAGCAGAAGCAGATGGGACAGTATTAGCTGCTTTAAGTGTTAAACATAACATGTAATTAAATATGTCAGGGTAGTTGGGACAAGTCACTTGAATGGGCACTTGTGGAAAACTAGTGAAACTACCTGCTTTAAAAACGCCTAATCAATCAAAAAAAAACCCAACTGGCAAAGGAAAAACTCAATGCACACCTACCACAGAAGTACAAATTACTTTCTCTGGGTCCCAGTCTCTCCAGAAGCATGAGTGCATGGAGATGAGAGCAGAGGGAGTGGGCACAACCTGCTCTGCACACTGCACCGGCACGAAGCCTTTAGCTTAATTTGACAAACACCTTAATGTGAATACATGTAAGAGAACTTTTGTACCTGGCAGAGGTTCAGGTGGAAATCTTTCTCAGGGTGCATGGTGAGGCCTGGGAGACCCCTGGTCATAGTGAAAGGAAAAGCTAGGCTGGGGAGGTTTACTTAGGAAATAACTAGTATTTTCTTTGTCTCAGTTGATGTAGGTATTGGGATTCCTGTCTGATACTAGGCAGAGCAGCTTGGAGGAGGTTGGGGAAATGGAGGGTGCCCAGGGGCTGAGGGCTGGCCCAAGCAGGGTGGACCTGGGAGTAAATGGTAAACTGAGGAGCAGTAAACTGCCCCTCACAACTTGGGTGGCTCCCAGCGTTCAGTACAGGCTGCTCCACCTTGTTCTTACCCCAACCACCTGCAAACACAGGAGCAGATCATGCTGGACCTGACCCCACTGGCAATGTCCAGTTCTTGATGAGTGTGGTATGAAACCCACCCATCTCCTTGCTCCCTGCACAGGCATTCCCTGAGCCAGGGGACACTGGCAGCAGGGCAGCATGCCCAGGCTTCCAAACTGCCTTCATAGCATCCCCATGGGCCCAGGCCTCCTGCCTTAGCAGGGGCAGTGCTGAAAAAAAACCGGCCTCCTTCCCTAAGCGGGGGATTGGTGGGCCCAGCCACAGGCAGGGCTGGGGATTCCAGCTAGTCTGGGCTGCTGAGTCAGTCCAGGAGGCCCCTCAGCTCCTCTGCCCCACACCAGTGGGATCAGCCCTTGGCTGCTTCAGCAGAGCTCGGGGACATGGAAAGTGCTCAGCTCCTCCCGCCACACCTGGAGCATGACTGACAGTGGGCAGAGGACTATGTGGGGCAGCTGCTGCTCTCCCTGTGAGTCAGGATGGGCCGCGTGAGGCCCTGACGCCTTCCCGCCCACCC